CGCATTCACCGCTTCTGGAGGCAGGTTGTTCCACTGGTTAATTGTTCTAACTGTCAGGAAGTCTCTCCTTAGTTCTAGGTTGCTTCTCACTTTGGTTAGTTTCCACCCATTGCTTCTTGTCCTGCCTTCAGGTGCTTTGGAAAATAGCCTGACTCCCTCTTCTTTGTGGCAGCCCCTAAGATATTGGAACACTGCTATCATGTCCCCCCTCGTCCTTCTCTTCACAGAAGCAACTCTGCTAGAGTTGCTTCTGTGAGAACTAATAAAGAGCTGTTATTTCAACTCCGTGTCTTCAATGCCTCCCTGTTCCCACTACACAACACAAATATCACAACATACATCCGCAGCTTTCTTCTTTCAGCTTCAAAAAAGGCCAGGTCCCAAAACCCACACTGTTTAGATTAGAGAAGGTGACTTCAGCCCACTACCCCTGCCACTCCATATCTTATCAAGATTTTAAGTAGGAGGCTAATATGTCATGAAAGCAAGCTGTCAAGAAGAAAGTGAAATCCTCTGGTATAGCTTTTGGGATCTGAATCACAGAGAGAAGGGAGAGCCCAAGAAGTGACAGGCTTTTGAGGACACGATCTCTCACGAAATTTATCCTTATTGACTTTTTGCCCTCATATGATTTTGGCCTTCCTCAACTCTGGCGAAATTTGTGGAGATTAACTGTAGATTAATTTGACCGCCTGTGCGTACAGGAATGTGAGATCATTGCAGGAAAGCTAATTCAGCTTTTTGTCTTTGAAAGCCTATGCCTTCTTTTTTCCAATCGACTTTTGTTGTGGTTGTTGTTTCAACAAAATGCGTGCCTTGTACCTTATAAAAGCTTTGGGCATTTGTCTATAGTGTACAGAGAATGCTTCTCAGAAGACAAGTTAATTTTTTTTCCTGAACTAGAAGCTCAGTTTGGAGCCCAATTGGCACATGCATTTGTTTTACATTCAATGTTTACTTGGCATAATTGCCAGTCCCTGGCAACTACTACTGTGCCTGTCTTTGTCTTCCATGACTGTGGGTTCCAGCACTGAAGCCAACACCTGTGGCCGCATAAAAGGCTAAGTACAGCAGCTGCCGGACTCAGATGTCCATGGAGAAATAAAATTCTAAAGCATACGAGTGTGGATGTGTAGCTGGCTTCCTCCTTTCATCCTTTTCAAAGCTTCCTTGGATGCCTGAAATGCAGGATCCTCATTTATCAACTGTCTGTCAACCAGTGTGACTGACCTGAGGTTTAGGAGTGGCCTTGAATACCCTCATTTAACTAATGCTGCTTAAGTGATGCCAATCTAGTATCTCTGAAGTAACTTCCTGGAAATGGGTGGCTTTAAGAGCTGTGTTGTCCCAAAGGTGCTTTTTCCAAAAGTCATCTGGACTTTCTTTTTCTTTTTTCCCTTTGAAAACATTTTGCTTTTCATTCAAGAAGCTTCTTCAGTTTTGGATAAGAAGCGTAACATTTTCAAAGGAAAAAACAAACAAACAAACAAGAAAATCCAGTTGCCTTTTTAAAAAAGCACCTTTGGGACAACCATGACCGGGATGATTGAGAATCTCCATAGACATGTAAGATCATGAAGCCGAGTCTTGCTATACTCCAACATCACTAAGGAGGTATATCTGAGATACTGATCTGGCAGCAATGTTTGTTGCACGTTCCAAGACACTTTCTTATCGAGCTTAAATTTACAATGAAAAGCACACACCGTAAGATGCAGGAAAGCTGCTGTTTTATATGAACAAAATACTGAATGCATATCAGTAAATGCTGATATGTAATTTCCATAAAGCAGTGTTGAATACCTATTACCTGCTTCATACAGATTGGTATCCTACTCACATTAAAAAGCACAGACAGCAATGCAGTTCTGAACTGCTTCTGTTTACCTCATATACAATTGGTGCAATGTGCAGAGCAGGTGAAGGAAACTTTTCCCTAAAATCAAAACCTATCAGCTGCAAACCCTATAAAAGCAATAATCCTATCTTAACTTCAAAATCATAAAATAGCAGTAGCAATAGCACTTAGACTTATATACTGCCCCATAGTGCTTTACACACTCTCTGAGCAGTTTACAGATGTCAGTATACTTCCACCAACAATCTGGATTCTCATTTTTACCGACCCTGGAAAAATGCAAGGCTGAGTCAACCTCCAGCACTGTCAGTATTGAACTCCAGACTATAGGCAGAGTTAGCCTGCAATACAGCAATCCAACCACTGCGCCACCAGGGCTTAAATATATTCAATACAAATAAAGAAAAAAATATGTTTGCTATACTTCTGATCTTAATATCGAACATACATTTAGTAAGATTATTTACATGTAAAATTCACATGTAACTTTGAAAACAGGTAACATGAGTGAATTGCATATCTTTGTTTCTAAATACTGTAAATATGGCATGCTTAACTGTGATGACAGAATCTCAGCAAGTGACAGACAATTAATTAGACAGAAAACTGAGTGCCGAATGCAATGCAGATGGAGACCTTCAAGAATTCTAGAGCTAGGTACAATCTAGGAAGCTGAAAAACATTGCAATGTTCTATTACCAAGAAAATTGGTAGTGGCAACAATGTGTCCTTGATTTATGATTGGTTGTGACCATTTGAAGTTACAAGGACCCATTCGGGGGGGGGGTACTTATGACCCAGATTCAAGGTTCTGATGGTTGCTCCCATGCAGTCACATCACCACACTTTGGGCATTCAGCCTGCATAAATTTATGGCTGTTTGCAGCATTCCATGGTCAAATGACCATGTTTAACAATGATATTGCCAAAACTTGGCATTTACTTCCAGTTTTCAGCAAAACTGGCCTATAGCAAACCATGGGTTCATTTAACAATCACACAAAATAAATAGACTGTAAAACCATCATGGTTACAACTATGATGGGCAGGCTAAATCTATGATTTAACTTGAGGACTACTTGTACTTACCAGTTAAATACAATGAGATACTTATACACTCAAATTTCAGTTTGAAAACCAAGAAGAAAGCTTGGTTTTCAAACTGAAATTTTGGGATGGGGCAAGATATTAATGGACTGTTCTTTGTTTCTGACTGTTTCGGTTTAAATTATATTTAGCTGAAAAACATACTTAGTTTGCAACTGAGAAAGTGATTTTGGGGTAGTGATTTGAGGGTGCTTTATGGTCTAACGGTAAAGAGACAGAGGGTAAAAAGTATGTAAGCCTACTGTAAAAATTGCTTCATGAAGTTAATAGTTAATTGGCTGGTTAGAGAGACACACCATTCCAAAGCAGCTGTTTCAAGTTATCTTCAATATTATATCCAAGAAATACTACCTCAGCATTTAAAAAGAGATGTTAACACCATGACTAGTATTTATTACTACCAATATCTACTTCAGGGAATTGAGGGATTGATTTGAGTGGTTTTTTGAAAGAGTTTCTGGAAAGTGAGAAAAGAGGGGAAAAAAATCAAATGATGCTAGTGGAAATTTTTTGTTTTGTCACACATTTATCTCAGCTAAAGATTATTTCATCAAATATGTTTATCATTTTGATCCTTGGCAAGAAAAATGGTGATATCAAGCGGTTAATCTGTAAATTAGCAGGACTTTTTATTTCTTTCAGACTATAGACTAGCAGAGCGACCATTCTGGAATTTTTCATATGAATACATAAAGGTTGTATCAATCTCCAGCTCAAAAATGTATTCATAATATTTCAGGTTTTTGTATAGCTTCTTGAAGAATAGTTTACAAAACAAATTTCAGGCAAGAAAATTCTGAAACTCCCTGTGGTATGCTGTCACATATTTCAAAATCGCGAGCCTGTAATTTATCTTTGCAATTTAGACAAGAAAGGGGGAGTCTGTATTTTTTTTAAGGAAACTATAGTCTTATTTACTATATTCTGTTCATCCAAAACAAATTGCAAAGCAGAAACAAGTGAAAACTTTAACAAAATGCTCCAAAGCTTTTTTTACCTGAGCATTTTAATAACATAAAAAGAACAAACAGAACTAGGTACAAATAAAATAGTACAACGTAGGAACTATTTTCATATAGAGCTGCACAAAATTACCAATACAATAAATCATACAAGGAAAGATTACTAATTAAATGACAATTTTAATAAGAAAGAGAAAATTTGAGTGCATGTGTCCATTTTTGTAACAATGCAGCAGAAATAAAGTAGAATCTCAAATACTTCTGACATATCTCCTATGGCCTGTGCTATGTACGGTGTAATCCAAATCAGCAATTCTATATCTTTTTGTACTTGAGAACAGTCCTAAAATGGTTAAGGAGAATTAATCTTAAATATCAAATGTTTTCAATGTCCAATCACCAAGAATATAGTAAGATAAGGTGCAATGACTTTTAAAAAAATATTGCTATTAAAACATTCCCTTTTATCTTGGAACTCCATTTTTTCAGCTATTTTTCTGACTTTTCAGCGTCAGGAAAATTAGAGTCAATTGACTGAAGCAGTTTATAAATTCATAAATAAATAAAGCCCGCTGCAAAATGGAAACAAATTAAATCATTCAGATTTCTAGCACAGTTTTAGCACTCAAACAAATTTGCTTCAGGACTGTCATATATATCCAGGAAAATATAAAAGTTACCCTTTAGTAGATGAACAGCTGTAGTGGATGAACAGTAGACACTGAGATGGGCAGCATATAAACTTAATAAATAATAAATGTGAAAGAAAAGCTCTTTTGGGGGTCTCTTCTTTCTAAGGCACATAGTCAAGAACAGGAATTGAGTTCAAAGCACTAAAACTGATTACCTACTACCTATACACAAGAATCTGATCTACTAATGGTCAAACCCAACTGGTGCTAGAAAAGGGTCAGTGGGATTCATGTGGGCTGGGCTTGGGTCTCTTATGGGAGCATAGCGATTCCAAACTGATGACATATTTGATCCCCACACTCGGGCTTAGCCTGCTCATCTCCTACACTCATGGCTACATCTCTCCATAGGTGAGTGTTATAAAGGGGAACACTACTTACCCCTATCCGTGTCATAAAGGAAGACAAAGCGATTCCATTTATAATGGCCCAGCAAACTTAGCAACGCTCCTTGTAAGGAAGGCCTCAGTTGCAGCACAAACTGGCTTTCACCCTCTGTGGGGAAACTGGGTGTGATGAGGGAGATGTGCAAGGCGCTGCAGAATGAGGTCAAGGTGTGTACTGATCTTTTATCGTACAGTCCAAAAATAGCAAAAACTCCTCGTGAGTACTGGGAGCAGACTGAAAGGAAACATAAAACATATAATTAAAACAACATAGAAACAATAAGCAACATCTATGGTTCCAATCTAAACTTTAAGGATATGGATCCTATCTTGCTGATGATATCTAGATTTAGATCTAGATCCATACTATATGGAAAATGCTTCCTTCATGTGCCTTGATCACATGGTAATATGGAAAGTTGTTGCTTTCTTCATAAAGATACATATTATAAATCAAAATAAATTCTTATTATATACTTTAATTATTTGGTTTGCTTTCTGTGAATAATTACAGAAGCCTTTGATTCAGGATAAACACTTCAGATGATAGCTGAAATTTATAAGGCATTTTTATATCAACTGAATGTTAAAATTAAATTAGCCGTAAATTAGCTTTAGTGAAGGAATTCTATTTTTTACAATTAACTTGAACACATCATAGCACAATTAGCAAGTCATCCTGTAATTACTGATGTTCAACAATAAGATTTTAAAATATCTTTACTTGAAATATAGAAGAATATGACAAGCAAAACTCCAAAGAATCCAATAATTGGGTAGAACTGATAATATAATCTACAGTGTCTTTATCAAGTTCATGTTCGTTCCATTTCTAAGAAGACCTGGTAAATTTCATTATTAACAAAGCAGCACTGGTGTCTTAATATTTTTCTTCACATTTCATATATTAAAGTAGCATCAATTGGAAAACACGTTTAACAACTTTTTCACAAATTCAGAAGATAAGGAATTCTAGTATCTTCTGGAAATTTAAGGCTTGTTTTTAATGCACCACTTGTCTACGAATTTGGATAACTATAATAAAAATGAGTAGCAAATACATGAGTAGATAAAGATAACCATCATAACACAAGTCCTGCAGTCACATTATCTGTTTTGGCACCTAACAAGTCCTGCAAGATTGTTTTAATGACATCATCATTTGTATGTCTAAAAATATTCATAGATCCACGGTACCCTATAAAGTAAAATAGTGAAATTCCATATTTTACTTTGTCTGCTAGTGGGAAAAACAAACAGACAGACAGACAAACAAGCAGGTATTTCAAGAGGGTGATAAAAATAACTAGAAGGTTTGTGGAAGAAGAGAGAATGACTGGAAGATTTTCTCTGGCTCCTATTCCCCCCCCCACACACACACACTTTGAAAAAAACCCAATGCAAAAGATATTTTCTGCCACTATCTTTTTTTTATTTTTGCATAACCAAAGTTACAGGGTTATAAAGAAAGAAAATATTTTTTCCTTTTCTACCACATGATGACAATTTAAGTAGAACTACAAACACACACAGAAAACCCCAACCCTTCGTACCATGCAGAGATTTTTTTTGTATTCGAATCCCAATATCTTTTTATTGTAATTTTATATGCAAATAGATAGATAGATAGATAGATAATTTAATTTGTATACCGCCCTTCTCCCATAGGACTCAGGGCGGTTCACAGCATATTAAAAACAAATAGTACACAAAATACAAAAAATACAAAAAATACAAATACACACAAATACACACAAATGAAAAAAATCTAAAACGTAGTAACAAACAGGAAAAAAGAGAAATAAAAATAGCAGTAACAAGTACACATTTACACTTAAAAGCCATTCAGTCCAATTTTCATATACCTCATCAAACCTTAATTACTGACTGAGTAATCTGTTTTGATAAATTCGTAAATTCTACATTTTTGGATTATAATTCAAGAGTATTATATTGGTATTCATAACAATATTAATACATTTATGGATATTAAATGATAAATGGGGCAAGAGTGGAACAAATAAGTATCTCTTAATCTATTTAGCATTTCCAACATAGTGAAATTGACAGCCAACCTTTTTAAAATATTCTCTGGTGAGTCCCCCACCCACCCAAAAGTACAAGAAAATCTTTTGTCCAATTAATCTCATTTTACTTAATATTCTTTCAGCTACTCAGCCATTGATTTATTAATGTAAGATATTTCATATCTTCCTTCAAGGAAGTTTGCAAATAATATCTGTCCCTGTGATACTGCTGAATTATTTATTTAAAGAAAAAAAACACTGCATCACATAAAAGGCCATTATTATAATCACCAAGACGATCACTGTAGATTTAATTTTTCTAAATATGCATCCAGGATGCCAGTTAAGTTTCCAAATATTATCAGATTTTCTGGCAGAAAGCCAGATTGTGCAGAATATGGTAATCGATGGTGTTCTTGTCTATTCTCTATGCGATTGCTGTCAATATTTTTTCATCCACATTTAATAAGAAATTAGATGATCAGGAAGGAGAATGTCTTCTAATCACACTAAGGCAAATTCTTTATTTTAGTGATCAATCTGGAGAGACCTAGACCTTCTAAGGTTTGTTAACAAATTCCTGAAGCACAAGTGAGAGAAATATCAGTCTAAAACAAAGTTATAGTTTATCAAGATACATGAAAAAAAACAAACGGATGGGTGTTAAACTTAAAGAAAAAGGATTGGAGCTTAAAGAGTAAATGAATTTACCTTNCAAATTCTTTATTTTAGTGATCAATCTGGAGAGACCTAGACCTTCTAAGGTTTGTTAACAAATTCCTGAAGCACAAGTGAGAGAAATATCAGTCTAAAACAAAGTTATAGTTTATCAAGATACATGAAAAAAAACAAACGGATGGGTGTTAAACTTAAAGAAAAAGGATTGGAGCTTAAAGAGTAAATGAATTTACCTTTGTCAATGAACATTAGAGCTCAGAATAAAATAAAGTATAGATGAGTTGTCCTCTATATTTGGATTTTTTGTCACACTGAGGAATATCACAATGTAAACTCCATATACTCTGTGGGTAATGTTGTTGAATTTACAAAATAGACAGGGCTTGCATGACAATACACATTTTATCGTTATTCACTCAATTAAATAGGACATTTGCAAGGCTTGAAAATATACAAAAATAAAACAAAAACCTTTAATTTATTGCTATATGTTGGAATCTATTGGATTCCTTTCTGACTCCTAGAAAACTGCATGCCACAATTGAAGGTAAATTTAAGATTCCTTCTTTTTGTTCTCCATGCTCATTGGTGTCTACAAAAACAACAAAAGCCCCTGGAAAACGCTTCCCTCCCTATAACCTCAGAAAAAAAAATCAGTTAACTTCAGAATTACTTTACAGATCGGTTATGGAAAAGTTCTAATCTAACAAGGTTCTCTAGAGCTTGCATTTCTGGACATGCCCATTACAGCAATCATCCAGTTTGTTTTCTGGTAAGTGAATATATTTATCATAATAGCCATTTGGAAAGAAAGCTAACAATATGCTCCAAAAATGTTAAATGTGCTCAAATGTGAAAATGTTGCTTTCTCCGTGTTATACAATAAGTTCATGGTCAAAGAAAAAACAATTCACATTACTATTTTGATATAATGATGACTTAACAGAGATGGAGTCTACTCCATTCTGGAGACTAGAAGATGGTAAAGTTCAATAAATCCTAGAACATGTAGAAGGATTGTGCATGTATATAGGCTGTCCCAAAGGTGCAACTGGACTTTCTTTTTTCTCTTTGAAGATGTTTCACTTCTCATCCAAGAAGCTTCTTCAGCTCTGACTGGATGGTGGGGAATGGAAGGATTTATACTCCTTGTAGACAGCTGGTCATTTGCATTCTTTTTGAGAATTGTTGATGCTACCTGGAGGCTTAATGCAGATGGACTGCTGAATCTTGCCCATCAGGTTTGAAAGAGGGTCAAAGAGGCCATCTATATCAAAACTGAACAGCTCTTTCTCAACATAGGGGGAGGGATACGAAATCATCTATCTTCAGTCTACAACACGATCCTTTCAACAGTTCCAAGAAGGCTCCACACCCATTTGCACTACTCAGGTGACCCTGATGACACAGATAAACCTCCAGGTGACATCATTGACCCTCTAAAAGAATGCAAATGACCAGTATAAATCCTTCCATTCCCCACCATCCAGTCAGAGCTGAAGAAGCTTCTTGGATGAGAAGCAAAATGTCTTCAAAGAGAAAAAAGAAAGTCCAGTTGCCTCGTGAAAAAGCACCTTTGGGACAACCATGACTTGGATGACTGAGAATCTCCATAGACATGTATATAGGCTGATTTCAAAGATTTTGAACTTCTAAGCAGTGGTTTGTTTAATATGCATAA